TTAAAAATTTTCTATGACAATATCGATTATATATATATATATATATATATATATATATATATATATATATATATATATATATATATATATATGTTTTAAATTGTGCTTGCTTGCTCGCTTTCTGGCTGTTTGCAGGATATACTTTCCATACCAAGCCTGGACTTCTCCTTCTAGATAGCGGGGCTGGGACGCGTCAATAGTTAGATCACTGGTCTTTGGTCACTGAGTATTGTTCTCGTTCGCAGTTTAAGTGAACTCGTGAAGCTTTTCAAAATAACACACAAAACCAGCCTGGATAACTAATTTTTCGTTAATCAGTTTATGGTGTATTTCGGAACAACACTGGAACTTTTTCTTATGGATAGAATCTACATGATTATAACCTAAATTTTAACAAACATCAATTCAGCAACAATTACTTTCAAATATAGGACTATTACCATGGGAGATAATGTGGGATTCGAACTAACAAAATCATGATTGAAAGTGAAGTGCCTAGATAAATGAGGGTACAACAAATGTCTATAAGTTAGAAAAATATATTTGGTAGTTTGTTATGTGAATACTTACCTCGTCAGTTTGATATTGCTTAGTATTGTATCCGCTACTGTATGAACCTCGTATTTTATTATTTGAACGAACTGGCTCTTTCCTAGATGAATTATATAATTGTGTGTAATGAGCATTCGAATAATTCTTTTGAGGTTGTTTATGATGAGGTGAATAATAACGATTATTGGGAGGATTGTAGTAATGATGATTTGGTCGGTGTTGATGTTGATAATGATGATGTAGAGAGCGTGGTTGTTTCTGAAATTCATTAATAAAAGAACGACAATTAAAAGAGATCTTTTTTAATTTATCATATTTTTTTGATGAATCAGAAACTAATAACAATAAATCATCTGATTGCCATTTAGATAATGGTACAGATAATATTGGATCAGGTAGAATAGGCCGATCTACAATGAAATTCTGTGCATATCATATACAATTTGTGTGTAAGATATCATGATTAAAGTAGAAAGAGATTGATAAAAAAAGAAATAGAAGGAGAGATGTCAGTAATGTGTTATGAAATAAACCATAATTAAATCATAATTTATACATTGAGTGAATATAATCCACAACAGGAATTTGATAAGCGCACATAAATGAGCATGGAATCATTATTACACAGAGTAGTAATCATCCATTACAGAACAAATGCAACAACGAATAATAGAATGGATTCATTCACATTGTGTATCGGATACAAGCAGAGCAATCAAATATGCATAGATTATATTGCGTTTATGCATAAGATCAGAAGTAATATTACCCATTATATATGTATATACATATATAGAAATGGAGTCCAAAACGATGAATATGAGTGAACATCGGCACAAGGATTTGTTAAAAGAAAGGGAAAAAAGACACAAGTTTTTTATTCAGTAAATGAAATTACGTGTGCCTTGACATCAGTGAAATGAACCAAACTCAGTTGTTATAAATATAGATTAAACTATTTTAGATTTATTTTTCATGTGATGTTTTGTTTTAGCTTTATAGAAATATAATAGATGAACTTCTCTGACTACAATATAATTTTTAGTAAACTTACACAAACTGGATTCAGAAATGCATAAGTTCAAACTCTTTTAGTTTAAAATACGCAATCATTATTCGAGGTATTTTCGAGAACTATTTTACGAACAGCTTAAACTTCCCATGTTCCGCGCTGCTAGTCGTGAACATAATGAATTAAATATCACTGAATAGTCCATGATAGTGTACTTTGATATTCCTTGCTATTTACTTCTTTATATCGATTATATTCGTATTTGCAACAAGGAAGTCACTGTCAAGCATCAGTTGATAGCTCATAAAGAATTAAGGTTGATTTTCGAAGTGAGATAAAATAAATCACTAGATCATGCCTCTATAGCAAACTGGTTAGACATGGAGAAATTATATTCAGAGGTCATTTGAAGTGACAGTAATTTTGAGCACTTCTTTAAGTTGGGGTAAAGGGATCATAAGAAAGTTACGCGATCTTTATTACTTGAAAGATAGGAAAGGTTTAGTATTTTGATATCAGAAAAATGACGGATTGTTGATGAAAATTAAAATTATTCATGATGAATTTCCTTTATCTCTAAGTGACTAGTTTTCATATACTCGAAACGACAAGTAATATTTTCTGAGTACCTGGATCCTCAGTAAAATATAGTCGAACGATGTACATGATAGATATTACTTCCCTTAATTGTATGGTATTATATAAGTTTTAGTCAAATGAACGCCTATTGACATACATTGATACCGTTCAGAATGTTGAAATAGATTAGATAGGAGTTAAATTACTCAAAGACATCGAATACTTAATCTCTATTCATTAAAGTGTTGTTCCTATGCTCTGAATAAAGACGAAACAGATGTTCAACGCCCGTTTATTTTCGATCGTTCTGGAGCCGTGTCAGTTTTTAACGAAAAGCATTTTCAACTTTATCGAGAAATCCCCTAATAAACAATTTGATCTATTATAAAATCTATGAATACATTTCAAGTGTTGAATATAATACAAATATAATATTTACAGATAACCATTTTGAAAGGTTAACAAAGAATACATAAATAAACTAGAGATATCATGTAAGATGAGATGCTAAATGATTCTTCACTGGTTTCATTTCTTTATATTAAAAAGGTATAATACGAAATGAGTAAAATAGCTTATTATGTATAAAATTATATAGTATAATTATCTGATATTTACCGTAATCAGAACGAGGCATTAGTTGTAAAACGTTTGGATAAAATCGTAAATCCCTTAGTGAAAATATTTAGTTAACGAACGGTTAAATAAACAATTTATCAAACGATGTGAATAAGTTAATTAAAATTAATGTGTCTTTGTTCCCAAGAGGAACTAAAGATTCTTTGATAATCTAATAATTTGACACTCGAAACAATAAAAAGTAAAAATTAAACATACGAGAAAATTAAATTAGGAAAGGATGCTAAAATCAGATGGTGGTTGGAGGTAGTGAACAGGAAACCCTGGACCCGGGTTTCGTGCTACTTGTCACTCGTCAGCAAGGTGTACCTGTAATCTTGAGGGAACTGGTGCTCCCTGGCGGATTCGATCTCGTGTCACCCAGCTTCACAGTCAGAGACGTTACCACTGAGCTATCCGAGCCGCGACTGACTGAGATGTAATCACAATTGATTGATCACTGGGTAGTGATCAATGTCATGCTTGTCTAGTCCTTATTAGTGCAGGGTTTCCTGTTGACTACCTCCAACCACCATCTAATCTCAATATATAGTGCCCGCAGTGTCGAGTCACCTAGACTGGTGGCCACATTGCAACATGATCGATAGCATTCGATCTGCACTAATAAGGACTAGACAAGCATGACATTGATCACCACCCAGTGATCAATCAATTGTGATGCTAAAATCACTAATAAGTCAAACATTTGGCCATATCTAATTGGTTTTCAGGTTTAAAAACGACATTATAGCTAGTATGTAGACTATTTGTGTCAATATATGGTCTAAATTATTCTAAACATTTAATTTATTTTGAAGAAACCACACTAGAACGTTCTCTTCCATAAATATTTAAAGTAATCCATGAATGGAAATGAAATGTCTTACACCGTGGGAGCAAGGGAGTCAGCGAAAAATGAAACTATCCTCATAAAAAAATTTATCTTTCAGATGTCTAGATGTATACGGTTGAAAATATTTTCACGTTAAATGGTTAAAGGTACTCGGCAACACTAATCAACAAGATACATCTGCAATTTTATAGGAAATGATATTTCTTTGTGGAATACCAACCGGTGTTATACAAACGTTGACCATATGTATTAAATATGAAGTGATCAAGCCTCAACCGACTGAGTATTTTAGAAGAGAAATCTGTTAAATATGGAGTAATTTACAGGTTAACAACCATTCGTCTAAATTGTTTCTATGAATTTTGGTGATCTATTTAACTGAGATAACAACAACTCCCCCATTACTTTATAATATATCACCTAAAAATAGTTTATTTTCTGAGTAGTTGAGAAAAATATTCTAAAAGTGACCTTGTGTATCATCTTCAACTAAAACCCGTCATGGTAATGTCTCGTATAAGACTTGATTTTCTCCGCTAATCAGTTACTATAAAGTAAGCATTAAAATGTTGGTTGGTCCTTGATTTTAATCGAGTTCTATGGATCAATTTCATAACATGAAAGGTAGGTTAAGTAATTCGATATAGTGATGAACTTTTTTCGAATTAAACTACTCGAAACTCAAAATCTAGGTTTCATATCTCATGAAACTTATTAATAAACTTGGTTTAGTAAATTGAGGAAAATGATATTCCTTTACAAATGTAAACCTAGATTTTTGTATTTAGATTTCTATATTTTAACTATTTTAAGTTGAATTCGTTTGATCATATTACAATAAAATAAAAAAGTAAACATATTATCCTGAAGAGGCTTTGCTAATTTTGTTATGATGTTGTTCAACTCATAACTAATCGATTGATAAGAGTGATGTTTTAACTTTTATCAAGTAATGTCCGTCGACGACCTAAGTAATATTATTTGATAAATATTAATATTATGAAAATAAAACTGTAAATAGTTGTAACTTTGTATTCATCTTGTATTTTTATAAATAAAATCATGATTAACATCATTGTACTCTTAATCAGATGGTCACTCATTTTTACAAATACTATGTGATGTCAAAGAAAATAGGTTACTCATAGTTCTAAAAAAACACATGACTAAGACAATTTATGAAAATATGATCAAATATAGTGTGGCTGAAAATTTCACAACTACAATCTTTGATAGATGAAATTAGTCATTTTGTAAAGCAGTTCATTCAAAAATGTATAAATTGACATGTTTATAGTGTGAATAAATGTTTTTAAAATGAACTTGAACATGTCAAATGATAACCGCGTAGAGACTAAAAGTTATATATATATATCATTAACTTACATCCATATTGATTTCTAATTTGTACTTTGCAATATCCTCTGGTGTTAAATCATCAATATATTCATCACCAGAATGATGACGAATTTTAGAATCTCCTGAAAAAAGGAAAGCAAAAAATGAAAAATAAGGAAATTATGCCAGTCAGTCAGCGGAATTATTTATTGATTAAATTATGGTTTAATAGTTTATGTACTAAATTTCATTACATGTATCTTCGTTTGAAGACACAAAAGCCAATGCCCCTTCTAAAAACCACAGCAACAATTTATATAGGAACATGGAATGTTCGGACAATGGATGTAAATGTGAGAACCAATCAACTAGCTACGGAAAGGAAGAGATACAACTCGTCAGTTCTCGGAATAAGTGAAACCCATTGAACACAAACTGGACAGAAAATATTAGATTCAGGGAATATGCTTTCGTACTCTGGTCACGAAGAAGAAAATGATCCACACACTCAGAAAGTGGCTCTGATGCTCTCCAAACAAACATGTTAGGCACTTATAGGATGGGAATCTCATGAGCCCACGATCATCAAAGCACCCTTCAAAACAAAGAAGGATCAAATCACAATGAATGTTCTCCAATGTTATGCACTCATCAATAATGGCAATAAAAACGACGAAGACTAGTTTTACGACAGGCTGCAATAGATCATAGCAAAGTGCTCAGCACCCAAACATCGGAAGACCTAACAGTCACAGCGGAAAAAACTGCAACAGAAGGAAATGTCAAACAACTATATGACGCAACGGAGAAACTGGTAGGGAAATATAGTAAACCAGAGAGATCAGTGTAGAACAAAGAAGGCAAGTCAATCACTGAGATTCAAGGACAGAGGAACAGATGTGTAGAACACTGTAAAGAACTCTCAAATAAGCCAGCTCCATTGGACCCACCGAAAATCGAAGACGCACACACAGACTAACCTATAGATATCACTCTACCAACAATCGAACACATCACAATCACCATCAGACAAATCAAGAGTGGAAAAGCAGTAGAACATGACAAAATACTACCTGAAGCACTACAATCAGACAGAGAAGCAACTGCAAACATGCTCCACGTTCTATTCAACAAGATTTGAGAGGAAGAACAAGTGCCGACAGACTGGAAAGAAAGATACCTCATTAATACACCAAAAAAGGAGATCTGAGCAAATGGGAGATCTACAGAGACATCACACTGCTATCATTACTGGGAAAAGTTTTCAAAAATGTTGCTGAACTGGATGAAAGATTCAGTAGACGTCCATCTTCGAGGTCAGCAGGCTGGATTCCGCATGAATGGCATTCATCAATATACATCAACTTCATTAACTAAGAGAAGGAGTTTGGCAATGTGGGGAGGAGGACCTTGTGGAACCTTCTCCCACACTATGGTGTGCCTGAGAAGATTGTCAGCACCATACGAAATCCATACGACAGATGACACTGCAAAGTCATGCATGTAGAACAGCTGACAGAATTATTCCAAGTGAGGACCAGAGACAGACAAGACTGCCTATTCTCCCCCTTCTTCATTCTAATAGTGATTGACTGGATTATGAAGACCTCCACATCTCAAAATAAGCACGGAATACAATGGACAGCTTGCATGCAACTAGACGATTCAGACTTCACAGATGATATAGTCCTTCTATCCCATACACACAAACAAATGAAGGTCAAGATAACCAGTGTGATGGAAGCCTCTGCATCAGTAGGTCTCACCATACACAAGGGAAAAAGCAACATCCTCAAATACAACTCGAAAAACGCCAATCCAATCACACTTGATGGAGAAACTCTGGAACAGGTAGAAACTTACATGTAACTGGTCAGCAGCATCGTCTATGAACAAGGAGAATCCGGTTCAGATGTAAACGAAACGATCGGCAAAACAAGGACAGCATTCATACAGTTGAATAACATGTGGAACTCAAAACGACTATCAGCCAACATCGAAGTCGGAATCTTCAATACGAACGTCAAGACAGTTCTACTATTCAGAGCTTCATCTTCCAGAACTACCACAACCATCATCAAAGACGTACAAGTATTTACAAACAATTGTCTACGCAACATACTCAATGTCCGTTGGTCGGATACCATCAGCAACAACCTACTGTGGGAGAAAATAAACCAGCTTCTATCTGAAGAGGAAATTGGGGAAAGACGTTAGAAGTGGGTAGGATATACATTGCAGGAGTCATCAAACTGCATCACGAAGCAAGTACTATCTAGCGATCCTGAAGGAAAACAGAAAAGAGGAAGACCGAAGAACACACTGTGTCGAGAATCGGAAGTCTACATCAAAAGGATGAGTAGAAACGGGAAAGGATTGTCCAGGACAGAGTTCTATGGAGAATGCTGGTGGGCAGCCTATGCTACTCGACGAGGGGTAACAAGTGTAAGTAAATAAGTAGTTAAGTCTACTGTGTTTTTGTATTAAATCCACTACGATACTAGGTTGAGAAAATGAGTGACATAACTATACAAGATAGATGAATTATGGATAGCAATAAGATCCACGATGAGAGTTTTTCTCACTTATGATCTCGTTATTCACCTGAACTACAGTGTTAATGTTCACGCCGATATTTAATCTATACAAAATGAGTTAGTGAAATGAACTATTTCATAAAAAGTGCATTATTATTTACATCACTTCATAGAAATGAAACACAAACACTTGACAAAGTGAATATTAGTACACTATCCATAGTTGCATATTTTCACTTAATTGGAAAGCTAAAAGATCAGATCAAAACAAAACATATCATAGATCCGGGAATTCAAATTCAACAAACAATCAAATTATCGCGTTAGACTTATGTTCCACTTTTACTGAAAAAAAAAATAACAACCAGTAATTTCAAACCTAACCAGATATAAACTTAGTTAACGGTTGATAAGCTTGTAACTAATTTATTTTACTCACCAATCAATCAAAGTTTTTGTTTTGACAGCATGACTAGATTCAAGCACTAAAAGCCCAATAAATCATTATGGTAGATTTTGATAATAAAAAAGGGCATTAATTAAAAAAAGGTCACATACAAATTCATTATAGTCGTATCTGGAGTAAGAAGACTTACAATATATTAATGACTTGTGAAAGTCTCATTTTATTAAAGTGCTTATAACCCATATTCTAAAAACAACATTATACTGATTGTATAATGAAAATTTAAATATTGATTAATAAGTGAACTATTTGAGTGTAACAATGAAAATTGAACATATGATAATGATACATTGAGTACATATTTTTCATCAATTACTTATGAATGGAATAGTTTATTGTCATTGTAATAAACAATATATAACTGTCAGTAATTAGTAACAGTTGAAGTGAGAACAAGAGTGTAAGTAACTTGGTTGCAAATAAGAACAGTCATTCTAAAGAGATATATTCTAAAGAAAATTAATTACTAAAATAAATAATTATTCAAAAGTACCATTAGAAAACAATCGTAAATCGAAATTCTTAGTTATCAATGGAATATTAGTTAAACAATCATAAGAAGTAAAAACTTAGTTACGTAGTGAACGAGAACATAAGTGGGGACAATCGAATATATGTGAATACAAAATTACGGAATATCTTAGTAAAATTTGAGAATCACACAGCAAATGCTTTATTTGCAAAATGTCAATCAATCGTCTCAGACTTCATCGTTCCTTCATTTCCACACCAATCATTCCTTATTCTTAACCTTTTACCTCCGGGCATTTCACATTCGATTGATGATACATACTACTTATATCTGTCGACATCAGTAATACGCACCACAGTTATTCCTGATTTTAAATAAATAACAGCTTCTTCATCATCAACTGTGTTTACTCAATAAATCCAACCTGATCCAACTTTTGTAATACAGGCCTAATAGATGGTCTAAAGTCAAAATCAATGTTTAAATCATACAAATCGTACTGTTGTTTAAGTTATATTCTAAGGTTCTATTATACGCAACAGTGAAACTATTGCATTACGTAACAATGCATATTTTTGTGAATTTATGTGTATCCATCCAACTTTTCCATAATGATAGATATTACAAAAATGTAAATCATGAAAACTACAGACAAAGCTTCCTAAGGAATTCTCTTTTTGAAACGGCTGAATATATGTTAACGAGGGTTACTTCAAAATCCTTATTTCATAAATTTGTTACAGAGTTTTAAAACAAATCGTCTTTGTAATTAAAAAAACTGAAATGAAAGTGATGTGTTTCTATCAGTAAACCGGTAATATACTCTCATTCGAATGCGACACATTTTCCAAATATTTTTAGAGCAGAAATATTGGTCTGTCACTAAATATATTCGAACTACTTTAAAACCCTCCTACCTAATAAAAATCGCATTTTTTCCACACCAGTTAAACTCTTTTTAAACCGTAACTAAAGCAAACTGTCGAAACTTTCCACTTCTATGAAAGGCTCTAACTGAACATGAGTACAGAATTTCACGTTTCTTAATGAATCAACCAACATACGTCAATGGCTGATAACCAATACTACTAGTTATATTTACGTGTGTCACTTTTACAATACATATACAAAACAAATTCGCTAGTTTCGCGAATAGTCATAAATCATTAGGATGATTTTTATGCTACACATAAGGATGTACAGGAAGTTAGAAATCAGAAAAATAGAAAGTCTACTTTTCCACAAGGCTTTGTGTGTACATTAGCTTGGCACTGTTTCGATAAGTGATTCCTTTTTACCTGAAATGACAAAATACCATTTAACTGTCCATTAAACTACAAAACGAGCACCATAAAAATTTAGTATGTGAAACAAATATAAACGGCAATGTTGACGTCATTTCAGAAGATAACTTCGGTCAATAAAGGACGAATTTATAATTTATGAATAAAATCCAATTGTCACTCATCCCAATAATTAATTAGTCAGTTAATCATAGTCATTGTAAGTTCTGCTTCGATTGGATACCGGCCTAAGTTCCCATGATTCAGATCAGTATATTTAGGAGGAAAATCAACAAAATGAAAAGCTAAGGAGAATACATTTCCGCTATGGCTGATATTATTTAAACATCAGTAATACAGCTAAAATGACTATGAAATAATTACT